CATGACCAAGCAGGCAGCCTTTGGAGCTGGTGGGATTTTCTTCTTGCAAAGCAGAGCTGCTCTGGGCAAGCCCCCAAAGCCACTGGAGCAGGGCCTGGGCTGCACATGCAGTTTGTGCCCACTGCATCTTTCAGTCAGGAGAAGACACAGAAGGAATCACAGAATCACAGAATAGTTTGGGTTGGAAGGGACCTTAAAGATCATCCAGCTCCAACCCCCCTGCATGGGCAGGGACACCTCCCACCAGCCCAGGCTGCTCCAAGCCCCATCCAACCTGCCCTTCAACACTGCCAGGGATGGGGCAGCCACAGCTTCCCTGGGCAACCTGGGCCAGGCTCTCACCACCCTCACACCAAAGAATTTCTTCCTAACATCAGCTTAAAACCTCTCTCCCTCATCCTATCAGTCCACACCCTTGCAAAAAAAGTCCCTTTCCAGTTTTCCTATAGCCACTTCAGGTACTGGAAGGCAGACCTAAGGTCTCCCTGGAACCTAAACACGGGTTGTTCAGGACCAAAGCAAAGCATGAGGGGCTAGAAAACAGCCCTGAGAATCCAGACCATAACAACTAGCAGCAGAGTGAAGCCATGGGCAGGAGGAAGGGCAGGACAAGAGTTGTGCCACCTGCCCAAGCCCAGCCCTGCAGCCTGAAGGCCACATCCCATCTCCACACACATGACCATGCCTGGTCCAACTGCACCAACCAGACATCCAGCCCCTGGAGGAAACCCCTCCCTGAGGCTCCAAAGGCTCAGCACCCTCCAGCTCCCCAGGACCATGCAGGGCTGATGCCTGACAGCTCCCAGCAGAAGCACCTTGGTGATCACCAGGGTGAGCTCACCCACCCATCACTGCCAGGCCACCAGCATTCCCCCATGGATCATTAGCACAGAATTGCTACAGTAATTAACGACTGGCACTGGAAGGTGGCCCTGGACTGTATGTTCAGTGTCTGCAGGAGGTTTGAGTCCCCCTCTGTTCACCCCCAGGACCAGGCTCCTCTCCCCAAGACCTGCTGGCTCTCAGACACCCACCAGCTCTCAGACCCCCACCCACCAGCTCTCAGACACCCACCCACGAACTCTCAGACACCCACCAGCTCTCAGACCCCCACCCACCAGCTCTCAGACACCCACCCACGAACTCTCAGACACCCACCAGCTCTCAGACCCCCACCCACCAGCTCTCAGACACCCACCCACGAACTCTCAGACACCCACCAGCTCTCAGACCCCCACCCACCAGCTCTCAGACACCCACCCACGAACTCTCAGACACCCACCAGCTCTCAGACCCCCACCCACCAGCTCTCAGACACCCACCCACGAACTCTCAGACACCCACCAGCTCTCAGACCCCCACCCACCAGCTCTCAGACACCCACCCACGAACTCTCAGACACCCACCAGCTCTCAGACCCCCACCCACCAGCTCTCAGACACCCACCCACGAACTCTCAGACACCCACCAGCTCTCAGACCCCCACCCACCAGCTCTCAGACACCCACCCACGAACTCTCAGACACCCACCAGCTCTCAGACCCCCACCCACCAGCTCTCAGACACCCACCCACGAACTCTCAGACACCCACCAGCTCTCAGACCCCCACCCACCAGCTCTCAGACACCCACCCACGAACTCTCAGACACCCACCAGCTCTCAGACCCCCACCCACCAGCTCTCAGACACCCACCCACGAACTCTCAGACACCCACCAGCTCTCAGACCCCCACCCACCAGCTCTCAGACACCCACCCACGAACTCTCAGACACCCACCAGCTCTCAGACCCCCACCCACCAGCTCTCAGACACCCACCCACGAACTCTCAGACACCCACCAGCTCTCAGACCCCCACCCACCAGCTCTCAGACACCCACCCACGAACTCTCAGACACCCACCAGCTCTCAGACCCCCACCCACCAGCTCTCAGACACCCACCCACGAACTCTCAGACACCCACCAGCTCTCAGACCCCCACCCACCAGCTCTCAGACACCCACCCACGAACTCTCAGACACCCACCAGCTCTCAGACCCCCACCCACCAGCTCTCAGACACCCACCCACGAACTCTCAGACACCCACCAGCTCTCAGACCCCCACCCACCAGCTCTCAGACACCCACCCACGAACTCTCAGACACCCACCAGCTCTCAGACCCCCACCCACCAGCTCTCAGACACCCACCCACGAACTCTCAGACACCCACCAGCTCTCAGACCCCCACCCACCAGCTCTCAGACACCCACCCACGAACTCTCAGACACCCACCAGCTCTCAGACCCCCACCCACCAGCTCTCAGACACCCACCCACGAACTCTCAGACACCCACCAGCTCTCAGACCCCCACCCACCAGCTCTCAGACACCCACCCACGAACTCTCAGACACCCACCAGCTCTCAGACCCCCACCCACCAGCTCTCAGACACCCACCCACGAACTCTCAGACACCCACCAGCTCTCAGACCCCCACCCACCAGCTCTCAGACACCCACCCACGAACTCTCAGACACCCACCAGCTCTCAGACCCCCACCCACCAGCTCTCAGACACCCACCCACGAACTCTCAGACACCCACCAGCTCTCAGACCCCCACCCACCAGCTCTCAGACACCCACCCACGAACTCTCAGACACCCACCAGCTCTCAGACCCCCACCCACCAGCTCTCAGACACCCACCCACGAACTCTCAGACACCCACCAGCTCTCAGACCCCCACCCACCAGCTCTCAGACACCCACCCACGAACTCTCAGACACCCACCAGCTCTCAGACCCCCACCCACCAGCTCTCAGACACCCACCCACGAACTCTCAGACACCCACCAGCTCTCAGACCCCCACCCACCAGCTCTCAGACACCCACCCACGAACTCTCAGACACCCACCAGCTCTCAGACCCCCACCCACCAGCTCTCAGACACCCACCCACGAACTCTCAGACACCCACCAGCTCTCAGACCCCCACCCACCAGCTCTCAGACACCCACCCACGAACTCTCAGACACCCACCAGCTCTCAGACCCCCACCCACCAGCTCTCAGACACCCACCCACGAACTCTCAGACACCCACCAGCTCTCAGACCCCCACCCACCAGCTCTCAGACACCCACCCACGAACTCTCAGACACCCACCAGCTCTCAGACCCCCACCCACCAGCTCTCAGACACCCACCAGCTCTCAGACACCCACCTGCCCCCACCCTGGGGCTGTGGGGTTTGCAAACCCAGCCAGCTCCATGGCAACCCCCTCAGGAGGGGAAACTGAGGCAGGGGAGGCACCAAAGCTGGGCTCCTCTGCCAGGACACACCTCAGCACACCCTCCTCACACACGCACAACATCTTCTCTCCCCTGCAGACACGGGAATCTTCTTTTCCTGGGAAAACACAGCAAAGAGGGTTCTGAGAGCTTTGCCATCAACCCCCTGGGCACCACGCAAGCTGTGCCCCCAGGGACAGCCCCATCCTCTTCCTCTTGGACTTCCCACTCCCGCGGGCACCAGCTGGCAGCAGAGCCACCCAAAGGCCTCTCTCACTTGTGGCCACCTCTAAGGGAGCAAATGCAATTCCCACTGCTGTAAACATGGAGCAGGGCGACGTTCCCAAAACTCAGCCAGACCCATGGGTGCACAGCAGCCCCCCCCCCCGAGGGGAGGGAAAACAGGGGTGATGCAGCAAGAACCGCGAGGGGCTCCCCCAGCATTGTCAGATGACTAAAACAAATCCATGTATGTGTATATCTTTATATATACAGGATATAAATATATATACACACACATTCCTTATGTACACACACAGCCACACCTGGAATTCTCCGTGTATAAATATAGATGGATGCCAGTGGGAGACAGGATACATTTGGCAGTGCTGAGCCCCCCACCCTGCCCTCACCTGTCCCAGTACAAACCAGTTGGCTTTGGTTTTGCTCCCTCCCCCCCCCAGCAGGTAGAGCCTCCCCCACCCCTGCACCCCATCATCACACCTCACCCCTTTTCCAGGCTACCCTTGGGGAGGGCAATGCAAAGCCCC